ATTTCTGAGCACTTTTATTCCTGTACTGGAGACCGAAGAGGAGAGCTGTTCAAATCGCTCCCGATCAGATCAGCTGCAGCAGAAAATGTGTATATCTGTCAGTCTTTTCTTGTGTGCACTCAGCTATTCAGTTGCTTTTCCCACTACTGCAGGGACAGCTTGTTGTCAGACTCAGGCACTTGGAGTAACCCCATGCTGGTGAAAGTGATGAGACTTCCCGCTATCAGTTATAATACAGTATGTGGGATTATATAGGACAGCATGGTGGCATTTTAGACAGAAGTGCATCCTTGGACATCGGGTTTACTTACCACTCGGAGATCTGAATGATGTTTATATATTCTTCAGTAGTAGCAGTAGACAGTTAAGCATATACGTCATGGTAATCTTAAATTTTATATACAGTGGCTAGAAAAACTCTACACACCCCTGCTATATAATGTCAGGTTTCTGTGATGTAAAACATTAGACAAAGATACATCATTTCAGAACTTTTTCCACCTTTAATGTAACCTATAAACTGTACAACTCAGTTGAACAACAAAGTGAAATCTTTTAGGTGGAGGGAAGTAAAAAATAAAAAAACTAAAATAATATGGTTGCATAAGTGTGCACACCCTTAAACTAATACTTTGCTGAAGCACCTTTTGATTTTATTACAGAACTCAGTCTTTTTGGATATGAGTCTGTCTGCATGGAACATCTTGACTTGGCAATATTTGCCCACTCTTCCTTGCAAAAACACTCCAAATCTGTCAGATTGCGAGGGCATCTCCTGTGCACAGCCCTCTTCAGATCACCCCACAGATTTTTGATCGGATTCAGGTCTGGGCTCTGGCTGGGCCATTCCAAAACTTTAATCTTCTTCCAGTGAAGCCATGCCTTTGTTGATTTGAATGTATGCTTTGAGTCGTTGTCATGCTGAAAGATGAAGTTCCTCTTCATGTTCAGCTTTCTAGCAGAAGCCTGAAGGTTTTGTGCCAATATTGACTGGTATTTGGAACTGCTCATCATTCCCTCTACCTTGACTAAGGTCCCAGATCCAGCTGAAGAAAAACAGCCCCAAAGCATGATGCTGCCACCACCATGCTTCACTGTGGGTATGATGTTTTTTTTGGTGATGCGCAGTGTTTGTTTTTTTGCCAACCATCTTTTAGAATTATGGCCAAAAAGTTCAACCTTGGTTTCATCAGACCATAATACATTTTCCCACCTGCTTTTGGGAGACTTCAGATATGTTTTTGCAAAATTTGGCAGGGCTTGGATGTTTTTTTTCATAAGAAATACCCCATAGCCAAGATATATGAAGAATACGGGAGATTGTTGTCACATGTGCCACACAGCCAGTACTTGCCAGATATTCCTGCAGCTCATTTAATGTTGCTGTAGGTCTTTTGGCAGCCTCCCAGACCATTTTTTTTCTCATCTTTTCATCAATGTTCTTGGTAATGTCACTGCTGCACCATATTTTCTCCACTTGATTATGACTGTCTTCACTGTGTTCCATGGTATATTTAATACCTTGGACATTCTTTTATACCCTTCTCCTGACTCATACCTTTTAACAATGAGATCCCTCTGATGATTTAGAAGCTCTTTACGGACCATGGCTTTTGCTGTAGGATGCGACTAAGAAACTGTCAGGCAAGACCTACTAGACCATCTGAACTTTATTTGGAGTTAATCAGAGGCACTTCAAATGATGGCAGGTGTGTACTGATTCCTATTTAACATGATTTTGAATGTGATTGCTTAATTCTGAACACAGCTACATCCCCAGTTATAAGAGAGTGTGCACACTCATGCAACCACATTATTTTAGGTTTTTTATGTTTACTTCCACCCCTAAAAGATTTCAGTTTGTTTTTCAATTGAGTTGTACAGTTTATAGGTCGCATTAAAGGCAGAAAAAGTTCTGAAAATGATTTATCTTTGTCTCATTTTTTACATCACAGAAACCTGACATTTTAACAGGGGTGTGTAGACTTTTTTTATCCACTGTATACATTGTATAACAGACCATTGAGTGGCCTGCTTTTTACAGCTGACAGGTTTCACCTCCACCCTCTGTACATAAAGCCTGCCTGTTTGAATTTAATTGCCTGTCTATTTAATTCAGGTTGACCATAAGTTTGCTCAGATTCTATTTGGTCAGTTTAAGTATAGCTAAAGTGTATGTAAATCCTAACTATATTCTTATATTTGCTACAATTTCATCTGTTAAATATACCATTGGAAGCATTTTAATTAATAAGTAATCACATCAGAAATTCAGAGCTGTCCCGTGTCTTGATAGCAAAATTAGGGGATGCACACCACACATCACAGTACTCGTATCTTGGCCGCATTCTTTGCTAGTTGTTTCATGGATGAATTGTGTTCCTAGAGGGGCTGGCACCCAATGTAAGAGAACTGCCAGAAGGACAAATGGGAGACATGTGAGTGGTACAATTTTTTTCACATGTGATCTGTGTCTTGGTCACACTTCTTTGTTATGTCAAGGAACCTTATTAGCCCTCCTAGTTCTTACCTTGAGACTACAAAATGATTAGTCCCCTATGTTGCGGTGTTAGGAAAGTCAAAAGGTTTGAGTAGTTTAGCAGAAGACACCTGGGCAGGGCTGACACCAATCATTGAATAGTGATAATCTCTCTCATCCAGGGTTCCTCAGCCTAGGATTTCTCCAGAGGTTGCTATAGGGGTTCCTTGAGAAATGCACAGTTTGTAACTCCTGCTGATATTAAAATACTACTAAACCCAGGACCTTGCATTCACTATGTCTGGTATCCCACAGTACATACAACATGGAAATGCAATTATTTTAGTAACCTGCTAAATACCTTTTTTAATCAGCAGTATATAGCAGTCTTTTGACTTCAGCTGAGCACTGGTTAAAGCTTGTAGGAGGAGTTTTATTTCTGCTCTAGGAGGATGCAAAACCCCTGCCCTCTGTCTGGACAGTGCTGATTGAACCTCTGCTGATCACATGCACCCTCCCAAGAAAAAAAAAAAAACCTCTCTAGCAATACACACTAAACTGAGCATGTGCATGTGGCTACGTGTTCAGTCTGTCTTATCAGGTGGACAAGAGGAGGGGCAGAGAAAACAGGATCAAATGGCCTTTTTACGCAATGCAGAAGATTAACCCCTTAGGTTCCACAGAGAGTATAACAAGTATGCTTTACTGCATATGCAGACTGATTTTACTGTTGTGGGTTTAGAAACACTTTAATTATCTTTATATCTGTCTGTAAAGGAGGGCATTCTTCTTACTGGTCAACAATGTAAGAGTGTCCTTCTCCCACTGACCAATATTATAGGGGTTATTTTCCCATTGGCCACTAATGTATGGGACCTCTACACCGACAGCCAATATAAGAAGGCACTTTTTCACTGACCATCTATTTAAAGGGCACCAGAGTTTCCACTGTTGTCATTTTTTTCCAGCCATTATTATTATTTTGTACCATTGCATGATTGTTACTGAAATTATTTTTTATTATAAAACCGGAAAAAAAATGATCTGTTCTGGGTGTGGAATATGTTATCACTATATTCTTTGTTCTTGTATGTATTATTATATTTACTAACTATGCAAAGGTACCGTAAACTAGAGGTATAATAATTTAGCAGGGGTTCCCTGAGACATGAAAATTATTTCAAGGGTTCCTTTGCGTTGAAAAGGTTGAGAAATTCAATGAACCTCTGTTGTGTACTCATTGGATAGAAAAGATAGCAGTAAGGGAGAGCAAGGTACGGATTGAAATAAAAGCTTAATTAAAGGCTACAGTGAGAATGTCCACCCTAGGTTGTGTGGGGGCTCCCAGGGAGCACTATGTGGATCTGAAACACAGTAAGTGTAGTTGCCCAGACCCTGTGGTGCCTATATACTATATAGCAACTGTTATAAAAGTAGCAACTGTTACAAAAGAAAACTATGAGAATAGAAAACCAGGTCAGGTAGCATACAATCTAGAAAACAGAATACTCTCTTGAGTATTTCAGGTCTGTCCTGAAATGTATTTAGTCAGGGTAGACATTCATCAAGGGTGTAGACTGAACCTTTACAACTCTGTACCTGAAATCTTTTCATGTAAAACATAGAGATAAAACAACTAACTAAACATTAATGTGAGCCCTTTGCAGCACAAAATTAAGTTATTAATATACAGAAAATGTTTTGTTTTCTGATATTTTTATCCTAGGTTACATACAATGAATAAACTATTTAAATATTTCTACTCAGCACGCTCCATTGGTTGGATACGGATCCTAACGGATGCCTAATTGTTTAGACACTTAACAGCCGTCTCTGTTTGGACAATGTGTTTTGTACAGTCGTCACAAGTCTGTCAGCCATTATGGATTTCCCGGAGTGCTAATCTATTATTATGAATCATTTTACAAGCATCAGTATAATGCCTTATAATTATTTGGCACAGTAAATGTGCTAAATATTTAGTAACTTTTACAAAGTACATGTCTACAGTATAAGATGTACAGTGCTCAGCATAAATGAGTGCACCCCTTTTTAAAAGTAAGATTTTAATCAATAATGAACACAAGGACAATTTCCAAATGTTGACAAAATTGAGTTTTATAGAACATTTGTTTAGCTAATTGCATGAAAGTAAGGTTAATAATATAACTTAGATTACAAAATCTTCAGTTTTACTCATATTAGTTAATGCAAAAATAAATACACCCCACAATGAAAAATACCACATCTAGTATTTTGTATGACCTCCATGATTTGTAAGGACAGCACCAAGTCTTTTAGGCAAGGAATGAAAAAGTTGGCGACATAGTGCAACAACTATCTTTTTCCATTCTTCAAGAATTACCTTTTTTATAGTCTGGATGCTGGATGGAGAGTGATACTGAACTTGTCTATTCAGAATTCCCCATAGGTGTTCGATTGGGTTCACATCAGGAGACATACTTAGCCACTGAATCACTTTCATCCTGTTCCTCTTCAGAAATACAACAGTGGCATTAGATGTGTGTTTTGGATCTTTGTCATGTTGGAGACGTGTACGACGACCAAGGGCACGGAGTGATGGTAGCATCTTCTCTTTCAATATTGAGCAGTAGATCTGTGAATTCATGATACCATCAATGAAATGCAGATCCCCGATACCAGTAACACTCATGCAAACCCCACAGAAGGATACTGCCACCACCATGTTTCACTGTAGACATCATGCATTTTTCTTTGTACTCCTTGTGACAGATGCGGGATCGCTTCCACCAATATGCGACGATCCCACGATCGCTGTCACCAATATGTGACGACTGCGGTGTCAGACCCCAGCCCTTCTCACTAAACTTGTGACCAAAGGACTAGCCGATCTAAAACCGCGATGCCACGTGCGTAACAATGCCACACCCAGCTGCACCCTGCACAACGATTTTCCCGCTAATTGGACCACAATCTATGTACCGGCAGCCGAGCGATTGTTACTGGGTCAGGTTAATTACGCAATTAACCCTTTACACTGCCACCACCTCCTTTTTGTACAGAGAAAGAGGAAACTCGGCAATCTCAGCAATAATGATTGAGATAATCGTCTGCCTAACACAGTCACCGCAGGCCGGTTATACAGAGGGTTAAACAAACACAGTAGCGCTCTTTTAGAGGCAGGAATTCGTAAATTGCAATTAAGAGCTATAAAACAGTTCAACATTTTCAAAAGGAAAGCTTTATTACTGAAAGTCAAAAGAGGGGTGCAATAAAAATATTTACAGAAAAAAAATGTAACCAATATATATATAAATATACAGAGAACAACAGCACAGCAAAGAGATAACAGAGAAAGGTTAAAGGGTTAAAGTACTTGCCAAAGTCCTGGGTTAGCAGATCAAGTTTCAGAGCGAAAGGGTACGGGTCTCCCCAGGTGGTATTGATGTTAAATGGGAGAATTCTTCAACTTAGCTCTCTTAGGCCTGACAGCTCATTTTGTAGTTCCCTAGCAGGGGTGTCTCTAAAGTCAAGGATCAATACCCTGTTTAGGGAGGGATCGTCGGGTGGAGGCCTAAACTATAGTCAAAATCTCTTATAACTCAAATTTTGCTCATAACTTCTCCTATGCACAAGTGACATTCAAACCCGCGGGTAGATTATTATGCAGCTGCCTCTGAGGAGCGGGTAGATATGAAATACATATTTGAATGGTTCACGAGATCTACTTTTCTGCTTTCCTATGTATTCCAGTCAGGGAGTGTGACCTACCAAACTGTTTGTCTCCTCGTGGCCAATCTGAAGATATGCCTGGTTTGTATGTAAGTCTCTCATACTCCAAGATATGAGACATAGGGGAAAAATGGATTTTTAAAAAGGTCATCTGGTTTCCTGTTTCTCTGGAATGCCTTGAACTCCTGGGAAGGCTGCGTTATCTTTTTACAAGGTGCTAAATTGTACAGCTCTGGTAGACAACCCAGCATTTTGCTCAGAAATGTTTTATAGCTCTGGGGTTCCCTGCTATGCTCTGGCCTGTGACACTTTTTAACACACAGGCCATATGTCAATGTGTATGAACAGGGAGCAAGGGGGGGAGAATGAGGGGACACAATTGAGATTTCTTAACAAAATGGAGGCTGCGTCCTTCACTGTGTACTCGCTTGTTACACTCCTCACCTTTGCAATGCCCATCAGTCCAGAGTACAGAGTCCCAGTAGTCTTCTTTTTTTCACCATAGGCCCTGGCAAATTCTAGGCAGGCTTTTTTGTGGATAGGCTTTAGGAGAGGCTTCCTTCATGGACAATACCCATGCATGCCATTCCTCTGCAGTGTACGCCGTATTGTGTCACAGGAAACAGTCATTCCAGTTTGGCTGTCTACTTCTTTAGCTAACTGCAGTGAACTTGCATGGTGATTTTCTTCAACCCTTCTCATCAGAAGATGCTCCTGTCGAGGATGGCCTGGATGTCTCTGTGAGATGGTTGCAGTTCCATCTTTGTTAAATGTTTGTATCACTTTTGCTACAGTATTCTGACTGATAAGTATTAGCTTTGCTGATCTTCTTGTAGCCTTCATCTTTCTTGTGTAAACAAATTATTTTCTTTCTCAGGCCTTGTGACATTTCTCTTCTGTGTGGTGTCATTGTTGACAGCATGAAATGGTTTTCTTTGTTAATAACGACCTTTATAATCAACTGTCTTCTGGACACCTTTTTAATGAATAATTAGACTCACCTGTAGTTTAATTCTTGTTAATTAGGATTTTGCTGTCTAAAATTTAGCTTTGCTCCTAAGACTTTCATTGGGGTATATTCATTTTTGCAACATGGTCTTGAATGAATTCGTTAGGAAAAATACTTTTTTGTGTATGCAAATTAATAAATATTTTTTGCAATCAATGGCCTGCATTTGTGGGAGTATTTTGTAGTATAGTGTCCCATAAAAAATATTGATTCTGAAAGGAAAGTAAAGGTTATCTGACAAATCTGCTGGGGTGTACTGATTTATGCTGAGCACTGTATATACAGATATCATATATATATATATATATATATATATATATATATATATACACACTGATCAGCCATAAGAATATGACCACTGACAGGTAAAGCGAATACCACTGATTATTTTGTTACAGTGTTATCTGAAGGTGAGTGGGATATCTTGGTTAGCAAGTGAACATGTTGTCCCAGAAGTTGATGTGTTGAAAGCAGAAAACATGGGAAAGTGTAAGGATTTGAGCACCTTTGACCAGGGCCAAATTGTAAATTGTTCTTGTGGGATGTTTCTGCAGTGTTCAGGACGTACCAAAAGGGTCAAAAGCAAAACCTGTGAACCGGCAACAGGATCATTGGCAGCCAGGACTCATTGATGCACATGGGGAGCAAAGACTGGGCTGTGTAGTCCAATTCAATAGAAGAGAAAGGTGTCAAAACACACAGTCCATCATAGTTTGTAGTGTATGGGGTGGCGTAGCTGGTTAGGGTGCCCATGCTGACATTTGTCCACAGCCAAAAGCTCCTACAATGGGCACTTGAGCACAGAACTGGACACCGGAACAATGGAAGAAGGAGTCTTTGAGGTGTTGACTTGGCCTCCGAATTCTGCAGATCTTAGTCCAGTTGCTCATCCATGTGATATGCTGGAAAAACAAGTCCAATCAGTGAGGCCCCACCTTGCAACTTACAGGACCTAAAGGGTTTGCTACCAATAGGTCAAGGCTGTTTTTGGCAAAACAGGACCTACTCAATATTACATGGATGGTGATAATGTTATGGCAATATAGTGTATATATACACATACCCTATATTGCCAAAATCACCCCTCCAAATCATTGGTTCCAATCTCATCATTGGCCACAGATTTAAAATATCAAGCACCTAGGCATGCAGACTGCTTCTACAAACATTTGTGAAAGAAAGGATCGCTATCAGGAGCTCAGTGAATTCAAGTGTGGCACCATGATAGGTTGCCACCTGTGCAATATATCCGTCCGTGAATTTTCCTTGCTACTAATTATTCCACAGTCAACTGTTAGTGGTATTATAACAAAGTGGAAACAACTGGGAACAACAGCAACTCAGCCACAAAGTGGTAGGCCACGTAAAATGACAGAGCGGGGTCAGCACATGCTGAAGTGCACAGTACGCAGAAGTCGCCAATTGTCTGCAGAGTCTGTAGCTAAAGACCTCCAAACTTCATGTGGCCTTCAGATTAGCACAACAACAGTGCGTAGAGAGCTCCATGGAATAGGTTTCCATGGCCGAGCAGTGGAGATGTGTTCTCTGGAGTAACAAATCACGCTTCTCTGCCTGGCAATCTGATGGACGTGTCTGGGTTTGGCTGTTGCCAGGAGAACAATACTTGCCTGACTGCATTGTGCCAAGTGTAAAATTTGGTGGATGAGGGATTATGGTATGAGGTTGTTTTTCAGGGGTTGAGCTTGGCCCCTTAGTTCTAGTGAAGAGAACTCATTAGACCCCAGCATACCAAAATATTTGGACAATTTCATGCCCCCAACTTTGTGGGAACAGTTTAGGGATGGCCCCTTCCTGTTCCAACATGACTGCTCACTAGTGCACAAAGCAAGGTCCATATAGATATGGATGAGCGAGTTTGGGGTGGAGGAACTTGACTGGCCTGTACAGAGTCCTGACCTCAACCCGAAAGAACACCTATGGGATGAATTAGAGCGGAGACTGCGAGCCAGGAAGTGCCTGACCTCACAAATGCGCTTCTGGAAGACTGGTGACACACTCCTAAACCTTATGGTCAGCCTTCCCAGAAGAGTTGAAGCTGTTATAGTTGCAAAAGGTGGACCAACTCAATATTAAACTCTACGGACTAAAAAATGTTGATACAGTATATATACGTTGTATATATACAGGCGTGCTGTCTGCTTTTATTGCTATATATGGGTTTTTGAAAATGTTTATATATAATTTTATTATGTATTAATTATAAATTATTGTATTATTATGTATTTATTTGTGTGTGTATGAGAGTGTGTGTGTGTCTATATATATATTTTTGCACACTTTTATGTTTAGTGAGTCTGGGTGCCATTTTAAAATGGTGCTGGAACAAGCAGCTGCAGTCCCTTTGTTGTTTTGAAAATGGTTAAAGTATAGAGGAAAAGAAGTGCTAAAAAGGGCAAATCAATACAGATAGCAATAAACTTGTCAACAATAGGCCCTTTAATATGCATTGATGCATTTCAAAACAGAAAATGCACATCAACGCATCACACAAATGTGAAATAGCACAATTTAAAGCAAATGCAAACCTATGTACAGTAGATGCATTGGTTTCTAAACCTTAGGTGAAGATCCAGTATTTTAGGTGGCATTCATGAACAAATCCAGATTATTCCTATGGTTTCATGAACATTTTTACATCACTGTGTGTGTACAGTAAGTGTTTGGTTGGCACCAGATGCTGGTTTTATATAAATTGCAGGCATTCTGACATGACCCAGAACATAAGGCACACAATGCTCTGCTTAGATTCATTGTTCTGTTAATTTCCCCAAAAGGTTTTCCTGCCAGAGATAACAAAAAGAGTGGGTCATGGTGGAGGATATTCAGCTGGTTGCTGTAATGATGTTTAGGGAAGGGTTGAAGCCTCTGGGGGCTCTGGGATATTGCCCATAGTGCCACACTGTATTAGGGGCATTCATAACCCCTATTATTATTATTATTATTCAAATAACACCTAGATTCATGGTACATGTACATACATAGGACATTTAAATGCAACCTATAAAATAACAATTGAGATGCTGGAGCCGGGGATAGAAGACAAAGGGAAGGGAAGGCTTGTGTGAGCACATCGCTGGATCATGGGACAGGTGAGCGTTAATTAAAAGTCAGCAGCTATAGTCAGTAGCCTTGCATTTCTATTTTAGCCCGGGTTTCTACTGATGCGGTGCGTGTACTTTTTTGATGCAGATGCGGTGCCATTTGAGCCATACGAAATGTATGGCTCAAATTGCACCGCAAAGAAATTGCATGTGATTCGCACAGGAATGTGTCGCAGTTCCTGTGCGAATCACATGCGATTGATGTGCCGCATCAGTGTGAATCTGGGCTTAAACATGCGATGTGGTTTACCGCTTTATCAAGTTGTTTTACCTTCATGAATCTGGAAGGTAAAAACTTAAACTGAATGCCTTCGCCCTCCTCATTGGCTGAGACAGCAGCGGGAGCTCATTGGCTCCTGCTGCTGTCAGTCACAGCAAGTGAGCCAATTAGGAGAGAGCAAGAGGGCAGGGCCAAGCCGTGGCTCTATGTGTCTTATAGTTGTATAGAGCAGCGGCTCGGGAGTGAGTAACAGCAGTGTCCCTAGGACAAGCAGCGTTCTCTGGGGACACTTCTCTAGGGGGAGGAGTCAGGAGCACTGGATGGGACGTGAAAAGAAGAGGATCTGGGCAGCCATGTGCAAAACCGCTGCACAGAGCAGGTAAGCATAACATTTTTGTCATTAAAAAAAATAAATAAATAAACAGCAAAGCTTTAGTATCACTTTAATGTTGCCCACAGCATTGTCCACATTAGCTTTGCTGTTTATGCAAGCTACAGTATTTTCATTTAGTTCTTCGGTGGATTAAATCATACAATTTTAACACATCTATCCAACTGGGAATTGCATATTTGCTACACAGATTGTTGCAAGCTGAGTTGGCATGTTGCTGAATTTTAGGAACAGCTTGCAGTATCCAATAATCAGTGGGGGGAAATAAGTGAAAAGGTGGAATGACACAGGCAAAGTACTGTACATTCATGACACAAGCAGAACTGCTGAGTGGGGGCAGAAAAGATGCAGCGGAAAAACTTCCACTTTGTTGAAGGGGTTTCAGTTTTTAGCTTTATTAGATTCTTCTATTATTCTATCATGTGGAGGCTTTATTTCTTGCTGATCCCTTTTCAAGCCATTGAACAAGTTTTTCTTTCTATTTTATTTCAGGAGATTTAGGTCTCATGCATATGGTCAAAATAACTGTGTTTGAAGAGTGCTACACTGTAATTCAGCATCTGGAAAGGAAGCCAGGACATTACAATGGGAATTCAGGATTTATCGGTTAGGAACACTTATCCCCAAGGGACTATACCAGATGATCCAATCTTTTATATATCACTCTCAATACAATTGTATTCTGTAGCCCACGGAAAGATTCTAAGAGCACATTATTGAAGCAATTACACTGTGGGGTTGATTTACTAAAGGCAAATAGACTCTGCACTTTGCTAAGTGCAGTTGCACTCTGCAAGATCAGTTGCTCCAGAGCTTAGTAAATGAGAAGAAGCTCTGCTAAACTTTATCAATCACTTTAATCATGTGCAAGCAAAAATGCTGTTTTTTTATATTCCTTGTGCATGATTGGGTATTCGTTGCAAAGTGAAGCTTTAACTCATTTACTAAGGTCTGGAGCAA